ATTTTGATTTACTCATCTATGTTTGCAACTTCTCTACTGCCAAAAAAAAAAAAAAAAAAAAACAATTAAGAAAACCTGAAACTGATCTTTGTGGTATCTTTATTCAATACTTCACAAAATATAACACCCTTTATTGATGGTCACTTTTCATAGCCAGGCTGTTGGAATCAATCTGAGGGTAAGCTCCTGTGTTCGCATGCAAACTCTTTGCAGACATGTTCTGTGGCCTGTTGCTGGGAACGCAGAAAAGACCTTTCTGAAATATTTGGAAAACAAACCCTCCCTGTTATCTAAATAACACAATTTCAAATGCAGTTTGCTGTGACTAAATGAAGTTATGCTGAGAAATCTAAGCCTTATCTATCTGTGTGCTTACCTATCTGTAACGTGACTACTGCTCCTAATTATACTTCAGTGTTCAAACTGTTAGAAAGCGCTCTGTGAAACGTGATTAACTGAAAATCAGAGGGAGCTCCTTTAATGGAAGATATTTGTTATTGTGTAGAGTTAATCCCAATTCAAAATGTTCTGGAGCTGCATTCTCTCCGTAATCATATGATGAAATAGTTAATTCTTGAACTTTATTATTATTTCAAAAATGACTGTTAATATAGATTTTCTACCTCATTTCAGTTGGAAAAACGTATACATGCACACTTGTTGTAACTAATGTTTGTGTCCAGTCCCAGGTAGGTCAATCGTTCTTTAAAATGTCTCTTCTCACCTTTTTCATCCTGCCTCACTGCTAAGATGCTAAGATGATTAGAGACCTAAAATCTTTTTTTTTTTTTTTCCCTTCTAGAACATATTCAAAATCTTTTCAGAGGAAGGATCTCCTTCCAAAATTAATTCTAGTGAATGGTCTGGAAAAGAATGAGCTGAAAAGTAGAAAACATCACTGCTCTTGGGAGTTTCCTGCCAAAAAAGAGTAAATGCAATTAATAAAGAGCTTTTCAACCTCCACATGAAAGATCTGTTGGAAGCAGAATTTGTTTTGTCCATGCTGTAACAAGTTTGTGCTCAGCTCAGCCAATTTTGTGTAGTGCTGCTGGGGGATTTCCTTTCTTAGTATGTTACCTGATGACCTCTGCAAGCACAAATAACAGGGATTACCTGTACAGTTCTTGTGCTCAAACAATTTGTCCATAAGGAATACAAAAGGATTCAGGTTTCTGGATGTTGGCCTACATATTTTGTTTTGAAATAACCGATTAGAATGAAGTTAAATGAATGTTTGTGTGAGACTGAATGATTCGGAGGTTAAAGGTAACAAGCATTTGACAAAATATATGTAAGTATTATTTTGTGAACACGTGCAACAGTTTGCTAACGAAGAGTGTTTTCAGAATACTCAGCATTCAAAATTGGCACTAGAAATGTTGATTTCAAGAATGTTTAGAAAGTGACTTGAATATAAGAAAAAATGAAAAATGAGCGTTTACATATGGAAAAGTTAATAAATTCCAATTAATTTCAAAAAAAGCGAAGATATTTCATAAACTTGCAGTGGATTTAAAAAAACTGCTCCATGGAAAAGTATCCTGTTTACAAATACAGTGAAGATGTATTTTAATTTTCCTTTTTTGTTTCTTGTTTTTTTCTTTGCAGATCAATCACACGATCTTACTACCGCAATTCTGTTGGTGGCTTGCTGGTCTTTGACATCACAAATCGACGATCTTTTGAACATGTGAAAGACTGGCTGGAAGAAGCAAAAATGCACGTACAGCCTTTTCAGATTGTATTTCTGTTAGTTGGACATAAATGTGACTTAGTGTCACAGCGTGAGGTTACAAGAGAAGAAGCAGAAAAACTGTCATCTGACTGTGGTATGAAATACATAGAAACCTCAGCAAAAGATGCCACAAATGTCGAAGAGTCCTTTACAATTCTTACACGAGACATCTATGAACTCGTGAAAAAAGGAGAAATCACAATACAAGATGGATGGGAAGGTGTTAAGAGTGGCTTTGTTCCAAATGTTGTACATTCATCAGAGGAAGCTGTAAAGCCCAGAAGACAGTGCATCTGCTGAATTTGTAGCATGCCAAAGAGCACATCAGGTGTTCAGAAGATGACGCCAACCTAAAACCAGAATAATAATTCTGAAACAATATTAGATCATGACATAGCTGAATCACAGAATGGTAACTTGCTTTTGTATCCTTCCGTCCAATTCATAACTTCATAAAATTTTAATTTTTTTTTTTCTTTTAGAGAGTACAATAACTGTGTGATCTTCAGGAAAAGAAATCATATATTGCTAAAGGAAACATTAATCCTATAGCGAGACACACTGAAAGTGCAATAATCATTAAGACAGCATCCTCTCTTGGGCTGTGTATTTTGAATACAGTTTAAAATCAAGCCTTGCTAGGTGAGGATGAGAGCTTTTTACTTTCATTCATTCTGCCTTAGTTTTGGACAGGAAAATATCATACCTTATACTTTTTTAATGCGATTCTTTACTCAAGTGCAGCATTGCTTATCAACATTAAAGTTTAGTATATTGTAGAATTTCATAAGAACAATAACTAAATAAAGCAAGTTGAAAGAATGTTCCAATAGCATGGATATGACTTTTGATATGACTATGAATACAAGCCTTACTAAAGAAAAAGAATGTTATAGAAAAGGTGATTTATTTGTATATCAAAAAGGGGAATAGAAGCAATGAAATTTAACAATGAAATTTACTATTGAATATTTTCTGAATTACCAATGAAGCTAAATGTTTCATTGTTCACATACGATCCAGCTGCTTTTTGAGTCCTGTACGAAACAGGTTACCCAACTACCTGAGTTCCATTTTGGAGGCCAAATCCTCAGCTGGATAATGATCATAGCCACACCAATACTTAAAGAATTATGTTAATTTACACAAGTAATTTCCAGAGTAGCTTTAAAAAATTGAACTACTTCTATCTAGAAGTAAAAATAAATGTTAAAGTGCTGCAAGCCGTGGGGTTCCAGGGTCTGAATTTTAGCAGAGTAAGGATTAGTTTGGTCTCAGCCAGTAAATGTAAATAAGGGTTTTAAAGCCAAAACTGTTAGAGTGTTTGAAGAGGAAAGGATTTCTAAGTTAATACTTGGCTACAAACAGTAAAGCTGGAGAAGCACTATTCTAAGAGAACAACACACAGTAGCTTTTAATAACAATAATAATAGGAAAAATCTGTGGTCGTGTAGCATTTTGCTGAGCTTGAGGTCATCTTCCTACTACTTCTCTGAATATAACTTACAGTAGCTTTACACAAACTATGCCCTATATGTGTAGCACTTAAATACCAAATAAGTCTATGTGTTTTTTATCACTAGCTCTATAATAAGATGACTTGATCTCCAGAGTTGATAAGCATCCACAGTTTATCTGGGCATACTCATAACCTCTGAACATTAAGTCAGTTATCTTCATATGAAGATATATCAGGCTACAGTTCTCTGTTTTTGACACCAGAGAATAAGTTTATCTAGTCTTAATTTTTTCTTCAACAAACGTAGGATCAGTTTTCCTTCAGATTACTTTAAGTCCTTTAGCAATCCTTTTGTAAATATGCCATGGCACTAATACAAGTTGTTTGATTCCAGTTAATTTATTCATTTAGGGCCACTAAAAGTATTGACTTCAGAAGGAACTGAAAGGTTAATTTTTCAATAGCCTGAGTCTTACTTTCACTGAGGCCCAGTTATACTGTCATAGAAGGGTACAGAGGCCTTAATATAAACAGGAATCAGCCTTAATTCATGAGCAATTAAAACAGTTAGCTAATTCTAGTCACACCGTGCCACAGAGCAATTGCTGTGAGTCTGATTCTCTATTAAACTACACTATTTAGTCATTTACACCAGTTCCATTTTGATTTGAGGGCAGTTCAGGCACTCTTTAAGCAAATGTAAATGACTGCAGATGCCAAAAGCGAGTGAAGAATCAGGTTGTGTGTGTTTGATACTGATTACCCTATTGTACCAGGCCCATGTTTGTATCTCAAAAGATTTCTTAGTTGCTTAAGAATACAGAATGGACCGGTGAATAAATCAGAGGCTTAGAAGTCAATAGTCTCAAAGCCTACTTCTGGGTCACTGTGTGTTTCTGAGCAAGGCATTTAAGTTTTCCGTGCCTCATCTGTATCTCAAAAATTGAGATAATTGTTCTTCCTGGCATTCACAAGGACCTTTGAGACCTAATCTGACTGTGTGATCTCTGGTCTGGGCTCTTTTCCGTGTGTGACATCTGTTGTAGAGTGTTTAGCACCATGGGATGTGGATACAACTTTTTTTCTGCCGTACCAAAAATAATTAGAGATGAAAACAGCTATATAACTACCAGGTATTGCTATTGTTACAAATCTACATTTCACATTACTTTCAAGTTAAAATCTTTACTTTAAACTTTTCTTCCTGAATACTCTGAGCTTTACATTCTTTGTGAAAAAATATCTGTGTGTGTGGAGCTGGCAGGGAAGGGATGGGGAGAAGAGGTGAGGGGAGAGGAGGTATGCACAGAGAAATAAACAGTCATCAGAACAGAGCCTTAATGATCTCAGCTGTGAATGTTGTACCTGTAGTGTCACATTTATTGCAGTGGGAGTAGAATTTTAACCAGGTAAGGAGCTGGTATTGCCAGTGCAACAAGAAAAGAAATTCACTGCTTTTTAAAGTACTGTGCACATAGTTGTCTTATTTGTAATTCCTAAAAATGTAGATTAACATGTACATTCAAATGTTGTCTATCTTGATGATGTATTAAACCAATACTGCACCTTCTCACTACACACTTGCACTTAATGAAAATGTCTGATAAACAGGTTACTTGCTGAAATATGTTGTTTTGCATTCATAGGCTTTGCAATAAGTATGTAAGTAACTGCTTGAATACGCTGTAGAAGAGATGTTCAGTGCATTTATTTATTTTTTCCCTCAAGGAAGGAACAATATGATGCTTCCCATTAATACCAGAATGAAATTTCCAGAAATTAAAGAAATCTCTTTTGGCAACCAAGTTAAGACACAGAAAATATTTAAAACAAAACAACAACAAAACCCTTTTACAAACTTAAGTTTGGTAAATCCAGTTAGGAAAAGGAAAAGCCTCTGAAAATAGGAACTTGTTTCTTTGTGGATTCACAGACACAGCAGATGAATGGATATCAATATACTATTTTTGTCTCCTCAAATGTTTAGCTTCATTGCTTTAAGTTTGATGAAGAAGAAGTCTTCCTCTGCTCATTTAAATACTTCACACATGAATTCTTCAGATATTTTAGCTTGCTTATAATTCTGTCCTGTGTAGAAAACACAGTATAGCTACACGTTTTAAGAGTCAATCCAGGAAAAACATTTAGAAGTAACTTACATTCATAGCATTCATTTATGCCTTCATGATGGAATTTACCTACTGATTCAAGTCCACTATCTATGATTAAATTCCTGGTGGCTGCCCCGTGCTCATAGAAAAGAGCAGAGGCTTGATGGAGCAGCCAAGTACACAGAGTTGCTGTGCGGAGACCCCTCTGTTACAGCCAACCTGCACCTGGGACCCAAACTGCTTGTCTTAGAGCAAAGATGTGTGGATCCACAGTGCTCACAGGCACTTCAGTCCCAGTATTTCAGCTCCCTCATACTGTACATTCTAACTTGCTCTCTCTTTACTTAACATCTGGAGAAGCAATTTTCCCCTAGCTGTAGACCCAAGCACGTAACATCATCTCGTCCAAGTCTCCAGCCTTGCTTTTCACCCTGGCACAGCCACCTCAGAAGCCTCTGTTCACACTGAAAAGAAAGGAGGGCTGAAGTTCTCTGCATGGGCATGGAAGGGGGAGGACTGCCAACCACAAATGTGCTGGGTTGGGCTGAAATAATTACGCATCAAACCACAATTGTCTATAGCTAGTGTTTGCATTGCTCATTTCTCAGAGTCCAAAGACAATCTTTTATATAAGTTATTGGAATTATAATTCTACAAAAGGAATCTAAAATATACAACTCTCTGAGAAGCCTAGTAGATAGGGCTATGCAAAAAAAAAAAAAAAAAAAAAAGTTTCTGATAATACTTTGCAAATTTTAGCTGTATGCAGCATTATTTACAACGCCTATATTTCATAGAATCATAGAATCACAGAATGGCCTGGGTTGAAAAGGACCTCAAAGATCATTGAGTTTCAGCACCCCAGTTATGTGCAGGGTCGCCAACCACCAG